TCTTTTGACACTGGCTACCACAATGTGCCAGGCACAGCATCGGATGAGGCGGGACGAACTAAACCATGCGTATCACTACAACTTGGGTCAGGGCAAATGGAGATCAGCGAGGCTGGACCGATGGTACATAACGGTCAAAGATTGGAAACGGTTGACGGAGAGAGAATTTTGTCGGTCCGATCACAATGAGGTGCTTCTGGAGCTACATCTTTCGGTCGACCCTATTTGCGTCCGCAAGCGGCAAGGCACGTAACTAGGTCCTATTTTCGTCAAACGTGCGCTAGGGCTGAATATGACTATGTATCCGACCTAACTTGAATTTTGTATGGAATAAATAGGCCAATCATCATCAATGTGCAAATAATTGTCCAGTCACGTCCCAGTAATAAATAATTTTGACCAATAAGACAGTACGAGGTTAGGTGAGTCATGTAAGCCAGCCATTTCGACGCATCGGGTCGGAGCAATACGAAAAATATGTATCGCTACTAATTAGGCAAGTCAACATCGTATCACTTGCATATTTTGCATTTATCCGACAAGAGCAATGGGCTTAGCGGAACTAGAGTGTGAAAACACAAAAAGAGCCAAGGCAACAGGAGTGGAATTTTTTAATAAGTTTCTAAAAACTGAGAATGTAAGTGATGAGTGTACAAACTTGCATTGAACGTGATGAGACTGGAAAGTGTTTCGTGTCAGTGATGGATAAGTTTGGTATGTATCTTGCATTTAATGAGGGCAAAAAAGGCAAGCCATTGGCTCGAAACACTTCGATGCAATACTACCGGCAGGCTAAACTATGGCTACTCGAACAGTTCCCTCGGCACAGATCCGCACTTGAGGCTCGGTTGCTTAAAATGGGGAAAACACTGCACAGCTTTTGTATGAAGCGAGATGGTGGTGGATTTATCACCAAATCCCCACTGTGCTCAAAGGGTGATTTAAAAAGAATGCTTATGTATTTGTATGTTAACGCTAGTTGTCCAAGTGACTACCATGACGCTGTCTTACTATGCCTGCTGTGGTATCTGCTCGGCCGAGCGTCCGACCTTGCGCATCTTCGGAGACAGAACTTGTCCATCGAAGCGGGAAAGGTACTCTTCGCTCGCTTCATCCGTATGAAAAATCCGAAGAGCAGGGCCTGTCGATCTTCCCTGACGCGGACTTTGCCACGTGCCCCCTCCTCGCTGTCGCACCGTCGCTTCTTACCCAGGTAGCCCCCTCCGCAAACGTTATAGACAAACTGCCCGAGCAGCCAAGTCAATCCGCCATCGAGCTGGCCCCCGACGTGCCGTTTTTGGAGATGCTCGACCATCCGACGACGACGCAAGGCCTGACTGCTCCGACTTCTGGCTTGCACACGACCCCGACCATCTTTGCCCATGTGAACCGCGTACTGGACCGCATCGCCACGCCGGCTGGTGTCGAGGTTGCGCTGACGTCCCACTCGTTTCGTCGCGGCGGCGCTCAGCATGCGAAGGCTTGTGGTCAGCTCACGGCTCGCTGGACATTCGACCGCGGCGCCTGAAACATAACAACAACAAATAAAGGATTCAACTACATCTTCCACACCAGCGCAGAGGACCACAAGATCAGCAAGATACTTAGCGGCCACGACGCTGAAGTTTCTCCAGAAGCTCAAGTCCTTCGACGCGCAGGCGCGTACCAAAGTCGAAGCTGCTCAGCGTATCCTCTTCGCTAGCTGCGAAGACCTTGGAACAACAAGCCACATAGTGAATCAGTCCGTTATTGATGTTCTTACCGCGTGTGTGCCCCGCCACTATCCCTTGATGAAGGAGATGAGCCCTGAAGCCCCAGCCGTCAAGCGCATCGAAGCATGCGTCCTTCACAGTGGCTGCTCCAGCGCTGAATTTCTCGGATGGTCGTCGCACTTGGTATCCGTAGCGTCACCCTGCAACAAATCAAGCAGCGACACCAAAGCACAACCAACCTCGCAAGACGGCAAGCAAACCGAAGACACCAGCGACCAGAAGACAATTCGACACCAAGCCGCTGTAATTAACCATTTAATCGAGCACACCCAACGCCAAGATCAGCGCATAGACGCTCTTGAGGCAAGCTGAACAACGATCCTATGAAGCCTACACACAAGCGCCATCACATACACACTGCAGAAGAAGCTGTCAGTGAACCCAAGAAGAAGCAACGCAGATCTTCAGTCACTCACCTTCATGCTACGTGGTTCGCTTGGTACGCGCAAGAGCCAAGGATGTAGCAAGCACCCATATCAAAGCTGCAGAAGTCGGACGCCAAGCTGCTTGTGGCCTTTATGAAACTCTTCTTGGACGACGACTTCGAACTTGACACGACAGCGCATTGCTACCGCGATCAGGTTCTCGACTTGGCCAAACGGGCGGAGAAAGCAGTCCTTGCATTTTTAGCCGAGCAGAAGATCACATCGCGCGGGCCAGCCGCCGTCCTCAAGCACCTCCGCACTCGCCATCGCGCGGGAGTCCTGACAGCAAGATTGAGCGCCACCAGCGCCTGCTCCAGACCGCGGCAATTAGGGATCTCGCCCCTGGATACACACAGGACGTACTCGAGGTAGTTAACAATCCAGGCGAACAACAATATAACAAGCCACAGAATAACAGCGGTTGGAGTCGAACTAAAATTCTCAGGGCAAGACCCTGTGCTCTATCCATTGAGCTACACTGTCATATTGGGAGGTTGGAGGGGGGGGGGAATGACTGACGTGGCACCGTGAGCACACGCTGCATGGGGCAGTGCAATTTGAGAGGGCCATCCTAAGGTCTGCGCAGTAGCGTCGAGAAAAAGAGCTAGTGAGGTCCTCAATCTTATTGTCGGGTACGACGTGGTCTGTGTGCTGTGTATCGCCGACTGGTAGAGAGCTTCTGGCCTGCCAAACGCCAGAATTTCATTGG